AAAGTAAATGGCCTGTACATATATAACACAAGTCCGACGACTTGACCTAAGCGCTTGACCTAAATGAGGTTGCTTTAGATTGGTGCCACCAGTCCCTCTGTCCATCATCCCTAGGCTATGTGGTGTCTTGCCGAAAGTGACAACACCACTGAAAGCCAGAGCTGGGCCTTGAACCAACAACCCTCTGGTTTCAGGGCGAACTCCTGACACCACTGTCACCCCCTTTAATCCAACATGAATTAACCAGGAAACACAGCAACCTGAACTCTGAGGAACACAGGGCTTCAGGAGGGAATGAGTAGAATCCAGCAAAGAGTAACCACAAAAGAGGAGTATATTAACTTTGCGCTGCAAGCTGGAGTGTCAGGAGATCTGAGTTGTTAGTCTCACATCAAATCCATCTTGAAAGACTCCTGCTAATACTGTATGTCCGTCTCAAAAGAGGCTGCAAGTCGGTCCAGTGACATGCCAGCAGTGTTTTTTTGGGGCGGGACATGTAGGAATGACAAAAGGCCATTGCCTGGGCATTAGAAACATGGCTACGCTGGAGGACGCACCTGTCGAAATCGCATTTGACTTGGTTTTAGCTTATATAGCGACAATTTCTCATTTTAAAAAAGGAGCAAAGAGAAGCACTTTGTGCATTTGTAGATCGGAAAGATGTCTGTGCTTTTATTCTGACAGAATATGGAAAAAGTTAGATTTATCAGCTTATCAAGATTTTTCAGCTGACTGAAAGTCACAATTAGCTGCTACGATTGGCTGAAAGCATATTATGGAATACCGGGTAATAGCTGGCACATCACCCAATAAGCCCAAACTATTGTACTAAATGTCCCTCCTTTTCACGGAGAGACTAAACAGCAGCCATCCCTTATTATTAACATAGGACTCAACTCAGCTCTACACATATCAATCTGGCTACTGCCCGATTAGGAGTATATAAATCCCAAACAGAATAATGAATGGAGTAATGGACTGATTGGGAACAGGTGTGGACAGAAATAACTAGAAGGGAGCTAGGTGAAAGGAGAGTGGCACAAGGGGGCAACAGACAGCCACCAATAAATGTTTCATTGTTGTTGCAAGCAAATAATGATTTGAAAATAATGATTTTCAAAAGCCTCACTGCAGAGGAAAGTCCCTCCCTGGAAATGAAAAGAGTCTGATCTGTAATGTGCAATTCAAAATGAATGCAATTCTGAAAAATAAAATTTGAAATAAATAATAAAAACTAAAACTTAAATATTGAAAAAAATTTAATTTCCATTTACAAAACATGTTCTCTACTTGAAACAATAATGGAAAGAGATTCTCTCCATAGGTGTGCTTTACAGAAAACACATCTATGGAGACGGGGTAGGGAAGCTAGTATGACATAATTTTGCTGTGTGTTGTCACGTCGACTTTATGGATGTATCAAGCCTAAACCATGCTTACAAATTCAGCCAAATGAACACACCTCTCGGTTAAAGGACAATCAAATTTTGTCATGATGGGTTCACTGATGAGACCCAGTTATGCAGAACACCACGGAGACGGAAACCATGGAAAAATACATTAAATATTCAAATTGGCCCAAGGGAGTCTTGAAGGCTGTTTTCCACTCATCTCCGTCTCGGATTCGGAGAAGGTGAGAAGCGTTCCTCAAATCGAGTTTGGTGAAAACAGTAGCCCCTTGAACGGGTTCAAAAGCTGAAGCGAGTACAGGGAGAGGGTACTTATTTTTAATGGTCATTTGGTTCAGGCCTCTATTATCTATACAGGGTCTTAGAGAACCGTCCTTCTTGCCAACGAAAAAGAACCCTGCACCCAACGGAGAAGAAGATGGACGAATTATTCCGGCAGCTAAAGACTCATTAATATATTTTTCCATGGTTTCTCGTTCAGGTTTGGAAATATTATAAAGTCTGCTGCTGGGAAGGGGTGCTCCAGGTAATAGCTCAATCGCACAGTCATATGGTCTGTGTGGTGGAAGGGACGTAGCACTGACCTTACTGAAGACAGGAGCCAAATCATGGTACTCGGAAGGGACAGAAGTAAGGTCAGGAGAGTCCATCTCCCCCCCACCTCTAGGGGACCCCACAGCGGGAGCTGCTGAAGGGAGGCATGTTTCATGACAAAGAGTAGACCAGGATTCCACATGACGATCAGTCCAGTTAATATGGGGATTATGTTTCTCCAACCATTCAAAACCAAGCACCAGAGGGGAACATGCGGAAGGAAAAACAAAAAATATTATGGTTTCACGATGATTACCTGAGATAAGTAGCTCGAGAGGCTGGGTTTGATGGGTGACCTGGTGGAGTTTCTTCCCATCGATAGCAGAGACACAAAGAGGCTGGTTTAGAGGAACGGTTTCAATTTGAAGCTGCTGGACAAGATTAGTGTCAATTAAGTTTCGTTCACAACCTGAATCGATGAAGGCAGAAAAAGAGAGGTTCTGGTCTGAGAAGAATAAAGTGGCAGGGAGCATCAGACGAGGAGATTTATCTGAGTTAACTTGGCCCGTCAGACTCCTCGAAACCTCTGACGGGCCCTGTCTTTTGATTTAGCAGGGCATGAAGCGATGAAATGAACACTCTCACCACAGTAGATACACAGATAGATTTTTGCTCAAAAAACGTCTTTGTCTTTCTTCAGGAGTCAGCCTAGTATGTCCGACTTGCATGGGTTCGGTTTCTGTGGGAGCAGAAAAAACAGTCACATTATTTGAAGCAGGGGCAGAGGCAAAAGAATCCTGAATCCTAGGCTTGGAGTTATTTCTAGCTCGGATCCTGTTATCCAGCTTAATTGTTAGGCGGATTAATTCCTCTAGCGTTGCAGGTTCGTCGAGGGTTGCGAGTTTATCCTTTACGTTTTCGTTCAAAGCCATGAAAAAAGCCCCCTTTAAAGCACTTTGGTTCCAACCGGAAGCTGCAGCTTTGACCCGGAAGTTAATGGAAAACTCTGCCACTGAAGAGCTTCCCTGTTTGAGATTGAAAAGAGCACGAGAGTCAATGGTTTGATCAGTTTCTTGGTTGAAAACTTGAGAAAATTCTGAGACAAAATCGGAATATTGACAACTGAGGCTTTCGTCAGAGGCAAACCTCTGCCCATTCCTAGGCTCTTCCTGTTAATTGGGACAGAATGAAAGTTATTTTCTTGTAATCCGTGGGAAAACTGCTGGGAGAGTTCTGAAAAATAAGGCGACATTGAAACAAAAAACCCTTGCAGTCCTTCATATTACCAGAAAATTTCTCTGGAAGACTCGGGCGGAACTCTGGTGATGACGTTACTGCCGGTGACCTCGGAGGCGGAACTGGACCCGGAAATGGTTGTGCTGCTGGCGTGGTGTTAGCTCTGTTCAAGCGGTTAGCATAGTTTTGGACTACATGGTTTTAGAATTCAATGTGGGTGTTTAACTCACTGAGAGCTTGATCATGTCCATGGATTTGAGCCTCCCGCTCATCCAATAGACGACGGAGGTGGTCTGCTGGGCCTTGTGTTTGGCCGCAGTGTTCTGTCATGATGGGTTCACTGATGAGACCCAGTTATGCAGAACACCACGGAGACGGAAACAGGAGTAAAAGTTTAACAATGTTTATTGTTCACAAGCACATGGAATATTGTCTGGAACTGGTTCAGGCCTGGGGACTGGTTCACTGGAGTCTGTGTAGATAACAGAGCAGTTAGCTTTGAGAGCAATGGGGTTTGGGTTTGTGATGTTCAGATTAATACCTTGAGGGTTCCGGTTAGGGTTCAGAGAGAGGGGCTGTTGAGTCCAGAGAAGGTTTGTTTCAGCAGAGTCCAATAACTGCTTCAGCGTCTTACTTCTGATGAGGGTGCAGACCTTGGCTTTGGGTTTCCAGCTCTTAATCCAGAGCTGCATGGGAAATCCAGAGAAGACTCTTCGGGTTTGGCTCAGAGGGCAGGCTTGGCAGTCTAAGCTCATCCAGAGCTCACAGAGAAAAACTGGTTTCCTGGAAACAGAGACATAAAAGGATTAGAATCCTAGCAGGACTCAGAGGTTCAATAAAAGATTCTCAGAAGGTTCTTTGGCTCAGGTGCTAACCAACTAGATTCAACACTGCGGCGACGAGGCAAGGTCTGAAGACAGCTTTTATACTGTGGATCCTCTGATGATGGAACGAGCCACAGGTGCGTCGAAGGCTCGGCTCAGGAGGATCCACGGCGGACTCTGCTGGAGGAAGGTGGTACTTCTCCAGCTCCCAACAAATTTAGCCATGATTTCTGTTGTTTCTTGGAAAAAACGAGGCAGTTTAATGAAGACATTGAAATATTTATGCATTCAGCATAGGAAGATTCAGTAAAAAGCTGAAAAACCACACCATATCAGCAGACTAACCGAAGAATCCCAGATTAAAATTACCACCACCTTTATCTATTCCCCTTTAAAAAACATTTAAAAACTGTCTTCATATTCTTCAGAGACGGCCTAAAGAGATTAAGGATGTAAAATGCAGTTAGTAGAGTACATTCCTCCTGTGGTTATTTGAGTAAAATGAGAGCTCAGTTGCAGTTTCAGTGTCCAGAGATCTAAATGTCAAAGGCTGTTAGACTGTGAAGTTAAAAAAACCCAAGCATCTCTCGTTCTCACATTCGGTCGCTGCATGTAACTCTCATATACTCACATCGCACAGTCCTGTGCTGTCTGCCCTAAATCCTCTTTGGTGTTTGTGTGTGGTTCCCTCTGACAGCAGAGGATTTTAGGTCAGAGGACTATGGCTTGGCCTCTCAAGCCGGGTAAACACCAAGCCAGGGAAGAAAGCAGAGAGCAGCAGCCTCACCTTAATGGAGCTTTGTCCAACAGGGGAAAGCTTTAAAGTGGCACATGAAGCCAGTTGTGAAGATGCTGCTTGTAGACATCAATAAATCATGAGCAGACGTTTGCTGTTTTATTGCGCTATATTTAGGGGGAACGGCTTTTGTTTTAACATAGAGAAGAAAAAAAACCCAGGTGTATCACTTCTTCACTAATTCTTTTTCCTTTTTCTCAGGAGTACACCATAGATGTTTTCTTCCGGCAAAGCTGGAGGGACGAGAGGTTAACGTTTCATGGACCAATGAACATTTTACCCCTGAACAACCTGATGGCGAGTAAGATCTGGACTCCAGATACCTTCTTTCACAATGGGAAAAAGTCTGTGGCGCATAACATGACCATGCCCAATAAGCTGCTGCGGATCAAAGATGACGGGACGCTGCTGTACACCATGAGGTAAAAATTACACAATAACGTCCAAATAAAAAGTAATAGGGCAACATAATGTTGGGCTTGAAAGTTTACACACCCTGCCATTAAGGAAAATGAGAAATTCACACTAGTAATTCAAATAACAAAAATTTGAAAAATAATAATAAGTGAAAATGTTATAAATGTTAATTTGGTAAAATAAATATTGATTTGAATTTTTGTTTTAAAAACAAACTGTCCCAGACAATTCAACTGCCTTGCTGATGAAATGTGAACCAACGTACCCGTCTACAGGAGCAGAAGTCTGATCGAATATTTCCTAAACATTCATAAAAACTCCTGATTCTAGTGACACATTTCCCATTTTAGTTCATTAGCTCTATGAGGCAGCTTTACTTGTTTTATTTAATAATATACACACATTGGTATGTAAAAATTTGTTTTTTTTTTTAAGTGTAAATATATATGTTCAAAATCAATATCATGATTAATATAAAGGGTTTGTTGCATATTTTCTGTTGTAAATGGAAGAGTATGTAAAATTTCAAGCACAACCATATTTATGTTAAAATAACTTCAAGATGCCCTTTCATTACTTTTCTTAAAGATTCCGCTGCTTAATCAGAACTGTTTCTGTATAAAGAGCATAATTAATGTGGAATGGTTAATAATGAACTAAAAATCATTAAATAGGTAAAATTATTAATAAGCATTCCTTCAAATAAATATAGTGTACCAAAAAGAATACACAAATCACATGAGAAAAATATTTTTGGAGGTTATTTGTCATTTGTTTAATTATGTACTTACTTAAATTATTAATTTACTTATTTCACTATATCTTTATTTTTTTTAATTGTTCTTAATCAATTTATTTTAATTTACATACATATTTATTTTTTTTTAAGTTTATTTATTGGTGTATATATTTAATTGTAAATTTGGTTTGTTTGATAATGTTTTATTTTGTAACTCCACCCCTTTATTTGAAATTCTATTATGAAATAGATAAATAAAAAACATGAAAAAATATATCATAAAAAATATAAATATATGTATATTTAAATGACTAAATCTTAAAATTATTAAACACATTTTGATATAAATAAATATAGCTTTAACTAAATAAATCATAAAAAAATTAAGATAATACCTCTTAAAGTAAAATTAAAAATCTTAATAATTAAGTAAATAAAACTTTAAATAAATTGGTAAATTTTGAACTAACTAAATAAATGAAAAAAGATAGAAAAATATTACTTATAACTATGTATTTTGTTATATTTAATGAGGAAATGTATTTATTTTATTGAATATTTATTGATCATATATTCATAGCAATATTTATTTTTTGAACTAGATCTCTGCCACATCAGATGACTCTTTTAGTCATCATTTTTGCACAGTGCAGAGAAATAATATAATTGAGATCCCTCTATCTCTACAGCCTTTTCTCTTTATACGATTGGTTTAATTTTACTAGTTAATTAACAAAAACAGGGTGTACAAAAAATCTTTACATTTCCTTGGTGGATTTCTCAATATTATTCATAAAAACAATCCTTTTAATGAAACAATCAAGTGAAATCATTTTAAAGTCAGCACAGCTCTGTTCAGCTGGCAATGATTTGGTGAGTTGAGCGGAGTTAATGTCTTTATATATTATTTGGTTTGACTCTAATATCAATGAATTAGGAGCTGCTGGTGGATTAATATGTACAGTACCAAGAGTGCTTTGTTTTTAACAACAATAGGTCAACATCAGGTTCTGCTCATTGATGGGAAAGTTTTGATCCTTTATGAGAAGATACTTTCTTAAAAGTCTGATCCTGATCTCAGATCTCTTCTTATCAAACCTATGAGCTCATCTTATCCAAAAACAGCTGCATGTAAAGCAGGGAATGAGCAAACATGAACTTGATGTATTGAAGGGCCTTGAATGAAAATTTTGGACTTTTTAAGGCTTTAAGTTATTAGAGAAGAATCTTGTTGAAAATCAAAGGTTTTTATGTTTTTGTGAAATTAGGAGTACTTGCTCAAGGTCTCCACATGCTCCATAAATAACAGAGAAATCAGTTCTCTCTACCATGACAGAGAAAGGAACATTGTGGTTTTAGCAGCCTTGAAATCCATGTATCAATCATTTTAAATTGAAACGAACAATAAAAAGACGAACAGAACAAATGATAGAAAGATACAATGATTCTTTAATACTGTTTGCTGTGGACACATATTCAGCTCCATTCAGGTGGGCTGTGTGAGAAGTTGGTGGGGGTACGACGGACTAATAGGGCCAGGCCAGAGATTTTTTTTTCTTCTTTTATGAGAATAAAGTCATAACATTATAAGAATAAAGTCGTAACATTACGAGAATAAAGTTGCGATATTACAAGAATTAAGTCATCATACAGCTACCCATTTCAGAGAGAAAGCTCGAAGCTCTAACCCGCAGATGACGGCTGACCAGCTCCACCAATCAGAGTCCCTTTAACATCCTTATGGTTCGCTAAAAGATTTCCTTTTTTGACAAACCAGAGCCAAAGTTTAACTTCACATGCTTATCATAAAATACAACTTTATTCTCTTAATATTAACACTTAATTCTCATAATTGTACTTTATTCTCGTAATGTTACGACTTTATTCTCATAATATTACAACTTTATTCTCAGAATGTTACGACTTTATTCTGGTAATATAACGACTTTATTCTTATAATTTTATGACTTTCTTCTCATATTACGACTTTATTCCCATATTATGACTTTATTCTCAGAATGTTACGACTTTATTCTGGTAATATAACGACTTTATTCTTATAATGTTACGACTTTATTCTCATATTACGACTTTATTCCCATATTATGACTTTATTCTCAGAATGTTACGACTTTATTCTGGTAATGTAACGACTTTATTCTCGTTGCAACTTTATTCTCATATTTTACGACTTTATTCTCGTTATGTTATGACTTAATTCTCGTAATGTTACAACTTTATTCTCGTTGCAACTTTATTCTCGTAATTTTACAACTTTATGCTCGTAATTTTACAACTTTATTCTCGTAATGTTACAACTTTATTCTCGTAATGTTACAACTTTATTATCATAATGTTAGGACTTTATTCTCGTAATGTTACGACTTTATTCTCGTAATGTTACGACTTTATTCTCGTAATGTTACAACTTTATTCTCGTTGCAACTTTATTCTCATATTTTACGACTTTTTTCTCGTAATGTTACGACTTTATTCTCATATTTTACGACTTTATTCTCGTAATGTTACAGCTTTATTCTCGTAATGTTACGACTTTATTCTCTTTGCAACTTTATTCTCGTAATTTTACAACTTTATTCTCGTAATGTTACGACTTTATTCTCGTAGTTTTACGACTTTATTCTCATAATATTATGACTTTATTTTCGAAATACAAGAAAAAAAATCTCTAGCCTGGCCCTAATACTCGTCATACGTCATAGTGGGGGTGATTACAGTAACAACACTGGTGAATATTTAAACGTAAAAGATTTAATATGATTTGACCAGAGTTCAGCAGCAGAGTTCTTGTGAACTATGAAATGGCCCGTTCCAGTTATTCATTGTTTTACCATTGAGAGGAAAAAATTTACTTACTCTGTTTCTGTGGTGCATGTGCAGGCTCATCCTGACAGGTGAAAAGGTTTTGACTTCTTGTTGGCAGCTTATAAAACCGAAATCTTACTCACGCTTTAAACAAAGGAAGTCAGAGCTGTAATTTAGAGTAACACAGTCCTACATTAACCTGAGATGAGCTAACGTGGGGAATTAAGAAAGCAACATGGCAGGATGTTGAGGAGCTCGGAGTAGAATCGTTACTCCTCCACGTCGAAAGGAGCCATTTGAGGTGGCTCAGACATCTGTTTCGGATGCCTCCTGGTCGCCTCCCTTGGGAGGTGTTCCATGCATGTCCCATTGGGAGGTGTGTCCTCGTGGCCGAGGACACACTGGAGGGACTATGCCTCTTAACATCTTGGCTTAGACTGCTGCGTCTGCGGCCCGCCCCAGATAAAGCGGGGGAAAAATGGATGGAAAAAAACAATTCAAGAATTAGGACCAAACAGCTTTTTTTTGCATTAAACAAATAACATGCATAGTAAAAATGTTTCTGTGAATGTAAACTGGTTTAACTGTTTATTACCACGTTTGAAGATGTACCCTCTGTGAATTATTGTATTAAACTTCTATAAGTTAAAGTGTTTCTGCTGACAAACACCAGAGAGCTTTTTCCTCCTGTTTAGTTTGTGCTGCCGGTTAAAATACAGAAACCTTTTTGTTTCCATTTCAAGGCATTGCAGATGTTTAACGTCTTGAATGGTGCATGAAGCTCTTTATTTACTTTTTTTATTTGTTTGTTTATAACCTGTGCTGTTTACTTTCATGCATTTGCAAATTCTGGTTAACGTTCTGTGAATTGGATGCAGGTTAACAGTGCATGCCGAGTGCCCAATGCATCTGGAGGATTTCCCCATGGACTTTCATTCCTGTCCACTAAAATTTGGCAGCTGTGAGTAACTCTAATGATGATAGAGCCTGAGGCAACTTAAACTAAGATGCAGTCCTTTGTTTGCTCCTCTAGTCCTTTGGCACATGAGCAGTACTGAGTGAAGCTGAAATGCATGGCTCAACTGGCAGCGATGCTACAAAAACTAACAAAGAAACGCCAGCGTTTAAACAGACACATAACGTCTACAGAGAAACTGCTGAATTGCAATTCTTATTCTAAAGTCATCCAAATATTTTCTGTTTGGAGAGTTGAGATCTTTTGCCAGGTTTTATTGTTATGGCTTCTTTACATTTGGATGACAATTTTTGTTTTGTTTTGTTTTTTGCATTTTTTTTTCAGGACAACAGATTGATATTTGGCTATTTTCAGACATCAGAGCTTAGCAGGTCATGTCTGAAATGCCTCGACATCTTGAATAAATGAAATGCCTGATAAGCATTCAGTGCATTCATGATATCCTGTTAGAAGTAAAAGTCTAGTTCTTAGTTAACTGCATTCAAACAGAGCAGAAAAAGTTGCAGGGTTTTGATTTAAAATGACGTCAAACATCGTAGGGACACTTAATTTGGGTGACTGAAGAAATAATCATTGATAGACGCCATCACCTTTGGCTTTATCCGTTTCCCTTTTCTTTTTAGACGCCTACACAATCTCAGAGGTGACTTACGCTTGGACCCGGAATGCTTCGGACTCGGTGGTGGTGGAGGAGGAGAGTTCCCGCCTGAACCAGTACGACCTACTCGGTCAAACTGTTGGACAGGAAACCATCAAATCAAGCACAGGTGAGACTTTACTGCGGCTCCATTGGAAGTCCAGAACTAAGATTATTCTGTGATCTGTCAACTGTCACTGCTTTTTAGAAATGTACATAATGCTGCTCCACCTCATCTCAATCTAATTCAGATTAGACCATTCCTCTCAGACGCTCTTTGATGGGACAGTCTGCTTTGTCTTTCACAGCAGCAGAAATATTGGAATCTGCTCCATGTTGAGCTCCAAACCTGCACCAATGTGCCAAATCAGGGGTCTGCAACCTGCGGCTCCAGAGCCGTTAGTTGCTCTATTGCCCCTCTACCATGACTCCTAATTGTGGCTGAAATGATAAAGAACCAACTAATAGATGTGAGAATAGTATAATAATAACAAATACCAGTCTTAGAAGCATTGCAGGTTGTTAAAGAATTGTCTAACTGAATGAATTTCACAACAGAATGACATTGAAACTAACAAGTCTTTTTTTTATTAGCTTAGAAATTATGTGTTTTTACATCCTATTATTTCCTATAGAAGAAAAAGTTTTCTCTTTATGAAGCACTTTTATGTTTTCTACAGAAGAGGATTAGGGCCACTGAAAACTAATTTTTTTATTTTAGGTTAATATGGGAAAAAGTCAGAATTCTGACTTTTTTCAGAATTCTGACTTTTTTCCCATATTAACCTCAAATGATATAAAATATCAGTTAACTTTTTTTCTCCTATTTTTTCCACTGGCCCCAATCCTCTTCTGCAGAGAAAGTCAGAATTCTGACTTTTTACTCAAATGCAGAATTCTGAAATTAATATCAGAATTCTGACTTTTTTCCCCCTGACATTGTACTACAAATAAATAAAAGAAAATTAATTAACTTTATCATTTTTCTTATTAGTGGCCCTAACCCTCTTCCATATTTTTCAATAATTTTAAAAGCTAAAAATACAAATAACCGGTCGGCTGTTTAAAACTGTAACAGCTTCTTATGGAGGATATTTAAGAAAAATAAGTTGTGCTTTGATAAAAAGTGACGTAATATTTGCAGCTGTAAGTGACTTGTATTTAGCTGGACTCAGGGCTCAGAAGGGTTCAGATCCCTGGGCTAATACAACGGCTTCCAAATCAGCAAACCTACCAGCAATAAGTAGCTTTTTAATGTCTGTATGAGTGAACACTGTTTGGTGGTTTACATGTATGCCGGATTCACGTGTTGCTGATATTGGTTGTTCATGTATGATGTGGATTAAGGACCAGTATACAGCTTTTTTTATATGATACTACTGTTTATAGTGTTGGCGTCTACGAATTATTAAATCTCTGTATACTGCAGTATACAGAGAAGGATCCAGCAATGAGTAACTGAACAGGAGGTGTATATATGGGAGACAGAACATTGGGAAGACTAATTAGCTGATATGGAGCAGGTGTAGACAGAAGTAACTAAAACAGGGGTCGGCAAGCCATGTGCTGCTCTTTAGCGCCCACCTTGCTCCTGCGTGGAGCTTTTTCAAAAATGTATGAAATTGTTTTTTTTTTTTTTTTTTTTTTTTTTTTTTGTTTATGGTGTGCAGGAGTTCAAACAAAAATTCATTATGTTTTCCAAAGCTGTAAACATCTGTATAATAAATAAGTTTAAAAAATAAACATTTCTTTCAACGGAAATTTGCGCCATATCCATAGAGATTAGTGGTCATAGCTTGCAACACATGTTTCTGGGTGGTGCGGTGCCGGGCAAACAAAGCGGTGAGTGTGTCTCGGACCATGGGTCCCAAAGGGAGAAAAAGGAAGATAACTGATGAGAACAGATGATTCAAAAAAGAATGGACCCAATCATTTGCTTATATTATCAATGCAGAAGGATTGCCTACATTTTTTCTTTGTAATGAGAGAATAAAAATAGTAATTTGGAATGGCATTTCCAGGGAAGGCTAAATATGCAGCCGATCACAAAGTTGGGAGCGTGAGAAAAAGTGTGATTGCAGAACTTCTGGATAAATTAGAGGAGCGCAAAGATAGATTTAAGAAGTGGATTGCATCTCCACTACTGCTGCTATTTCTGTTTCAAACATGGAAAACCATCCGCAGATCAAACAGGTAGCTCTCTGATGCAGGTTATATAAACTCTCTTCCATTCCCCCCACAAATCCTCAAAATAAAAAAGACCAAGGAACCCTGGTGACGGAGGATGTGGGATTTCGTGGTTATAGAGCTCTGCACTGATGGATGCCAGTTCCTGCTTGGTTCCTCATGACTCAATCAGCTCCTCCCTACAGAAACATGTCCACCATAGAAAGATTTCTTTATTGTGTTTCTATCATTTCATCAATGAAACAAAACCTAAAATGCATGATGAAAATAAATAAATAAGAAGAAAAAGAAAGAAAGAAGGTTTGCATTCACAGTAGATTCAGCATCATGTCTGCTAGGAAGTTTGTTGGTCGTGCGCCTGAACGCAGGGAGGATCCATCACTCATACCATCTCACTCATCCTATGTTGGGGATGAAGTCTGGAGGAGAAATGACGGTTTCCCCCTGTGAACCACCAGTTCAGTTCAGTTCAGTAGCTTTTATTTGTCCCAGTATGGGCAATTTTTGTGCCCAAAACGCTGCAAGTACTCCATCATACAGTAGTTGTACGTTAAAACACGTTCAGCGGTTGCCTGGAATACGTAAAACACGTTGATATGCGTTGGAGATAAGTTCTTGATAAGTTATGCATAAGTTACTCATAGGTTTTGGATACGCTAGACACCATGACTTATGAGTAACTTACACTTAACGTATGTCAACGATCAGATAAGTTACCTGTAACTTACGCCCCACATATGGCATACGTCGGGAAAATTTTGAGTACACTCAAAATTTCTTCACGCACTTGTATATCAATGTATGCCAGCGTGTTTCAGCGTCCTTCAGCGTGCTCATAACTTATCCAACATATGCCAGAGTTTTTGCCAGATTTTTCGTACATCAGGCATACACTGGCTAAATTGTCAAGGTTTGACAGGGGCTTAAGGATAAATAACTAACTAAAAATAGACCAGGAAATAAGCAATACCAATTATCTAGAAAAGAGTTACTCCCCCAAAAAATAAACTTAAACAGAAACAAAAGGTCCAGAACGTAAGATCATAACTACTAAAATATAAATACTTTTTTTAAGTACCGTTCCCAACCCTGAACACATTGGAGTCATAGGCTGAAGTGTATCTACTGTATGTTGTGGAGCTGCAATGTAGCTTTGCTGTTAGCAGAAGCATTTTGCAACAACTTCCTGGGTTTGTCTAAATGCCTTCAGGTGTCAGTAAGTTTATGCATAATAGTGTTTCTCTGTTATGAGGTGTGTGATCTGTCTAAAGTGATCCATTGATCGCTGGAAATGGACACCTCTGGGACTCTGCTTCAATTGATTTGAAATAAACTAAATGGGTTGAGAAGGTGCAGTTGTTTCAAAATGGGGCCTCTCGGTCGTTATATATATATCATAAATTGTTTCAGGCTTATTTCACTTTGCTAAATCGATCCTTAGATCTATTCTGCAACATCAGCAGTTTTATGTTGAGGGTGATGCAACAATGTCTGAGGAGACCTTGAAATAAGATTGACTAAACGGAAGCTAAACATTTTCTTTAAATCTTAACATTCAACATATAGAAGACACTGGAGATGGATTTTCCAAGCCAAAACAACAGACACATATATGAAACGTAAAAACGACAATAACAACAAAATAAAAAGATATAAGAGAAGTAAAGACCTGTGTAAGTAAACATATAGGAGTCTCTTTAATTTTTGGACTGCTGGTTTGTTTCCATATTAGATATTTCATGGCTTTAATAATTAATTTATTTAACTAAACAGGTACAGAAGAATTAAAGATGTGTTCATATTCTTAGTAGACATGAAACATGCAGAAGCTGAGCTCTGCAGCCTTTTGTTTTGTGGTGAATTCAAGAATGAAAAGTGCTCTCACTCTTCTTCGCACTTCTCCGCATTTAATGTGGGGTTAATTAAAACCCCTATAAAAGTCAAAGTGATCTCAGGCCCAAATTATAATTGCTCACTATTTCTTGTTAGAGTACGCATGCAACCTGCTGTGTTGCATAAAATCCAGGAGACATCTGGCTGTGCTGAATTAAAGCAATCTGTGCATTTTGTCGTCTGAAATTAACAGAAAATTTTTAATTTACAGAAATCGCTCGTTGAGTTGAAGCTGTAGGAAAAGCTAGCTTTAATTTTCCCCATATGATGATAGAAAACCAGGAATACAAATGCTCCTGAAAATAGGCTAAACGGAGGGAAACTGGTAATGAGTGCTAAAAATAGAGGCAACATTTCATGCAAGCATGCTAACACAGATGACAAGAAATGAGGGCAGAGCTTGAGGTAGCATGCAAGAGTCTATATGCTGCTCAGTGTGTTTGTGAAGAATGATTACAGTTTGGCCTATACTTTTCATTTTTTTTTTTCGTTTTTCCATGGAGATCTGTGTCTCCAGATGCTTCCTTAACAAACAAAGCTTATCAGAAATGGTGCTTCATAGATGCGGATAGTTGCAAAAATGCATACATGGTTTACTGTTTGAGACAGTGACTTTTTATTCCAGGTTTGGCAGTGGTTCAAGTCCGCCCTAGTTTTCCTATGTGAGATATAAAGCCCTTCCGATGCATAATCATTCTTGCGTGCATGTTTTGTGTCACTTGTGATGAACTGGCAACCGTCCAGGATGAAATCTGCCTTATGCAACTTCACTGCTGAAGATGGGTACCTGCTCCCTGTAACCTTGATTGAATTAGCTTTTTTTTTTTGTAATGGATGGATTTTTTAAATTTACATTGGTTTGGAAAGTCTGCTTAAATTAAGAGCATTGTTGCTCTGTTTCAAAGCTATAATTGGATGGAAGTGACAGTGAAATGAAAATGCTTTAGATCTTAAGAATATAACACAATCTATCAAATGTGCAAACTACAAACACCTAATTATCTTCCAAACTATACCTAGAAACTGATGTCAGCAGCATTTTAAAAGTTG